TGAGGGTAAAGGTGATGGACTGGCCAAGCATGTCTCCAGACCAAAACCCTATTGATCATCTGAGGGACATCCTCAATCAGAAGGTGGAGGAGCGCATGGTCTCTAATATCAACCAGGTCTGTGACTCCAGTGGCAACCTGTGAAGCTCTGGTGAACTCCATGCCCAAGAGGGTTAAGGCAGTGCTGGAAAATAAGGGTGGCCACCCAAAATATTGACACCTTGGGCCCAATTTGGACATTTTTACTTAGGGGTGTACAGCGGTTTAGACATTAATGGCTGTGTGTTGAGTTATTTCGAGAGAACAGCAAATGTACACTGTTATTCAAGCTGTACACTTACATTGTAGCAAAGTGTTTCTTCAGTGTTGTCACATGAAAAGATGTAATCAAATATTTACAAGAATGTGAGGGGTGTACTCACTTTTCTGAGATACTGTACAACACTTTGTGCCTAATTCTCTGAATGCTCTTAGAATACCAATGTTAAGATAATGTATTTATTTCTTGTCTAATATATATATATTTTCTATCAATCTTTTAAAATCAATTTACTCTACATCTTAAAGAAATTGCAGCACACAAGTTTCCTAGCAGAAAATGCTTTTCTAATTGAGTGTTCCGTGCTACACCATATTACCTTCACCTGCAAGTGTAGCTGCAGCAACTGCTAGATCGTGAGACTCTTATTCTAAATTATGTAAATTAAACCCAACACGATATAGGCACACTGAAGTGTTAGCGATAGTTTTCCTTTAACTTTCTTCTCAAAATGATCTGAAGGATTGGTGTTGTGAGTATAAGAACAGGGGGAAAACACATTATAAAATAAGAACATGCTCAGCTGACGTGTGAAGAATACATTTGAATGTTTTAAAATTCATATGAGCTTAGGTTGTCGAAATGAAATCGTTGCTGCTACTCAGAGGAGTCCCAAAGGGATCTGCCATGTTCTGTCTAATGAGAGTCATCGTGGGAACATGACAAACAATGGCAATGCACACATCCCATGATATGAGGTAAGCCATGCTGCTGCTGATATCTGTATTAAATTACATGAGGACAATCGAGAAAGAAATACCCAAACCATGTTTACTTAGTATTTGTCATTGGAGACAATGTCATTATTGCCATTAATTACGTAATAGCCAACCAACCTAAACACATGATTACATTGCATTTTAAATAACTGTAATTGTCGAAAGCAGGAAATAATTGAACCACAATAGATACGAAAAAATCCTAATAAAAAGATATGGGACCATGTTAATCTAGTAAAATGTATGTGTTGACCTTCCTCTGTATAAACGTATCTGCTTACCTGTCTGTCGCCAATTAGTTCCACTCAGTGTTTGATGGATATTTCCTTAGGTGCTCCCTCCCTGCCCTTATATTTTGCTTTGTAGTAAATCCTTTGGGGAAAATGTGTAATTTCTTGGCAAGCCAGCTGGTAACCAAACAGAGTGGCTCTGATACACGAGCCTGTGGAACAGGAGGTGTCTCTCCTTGTATTTAGGCAAAGTGTGTGGGGGGGAGGAGGATGGCCTGAGGGTGGGAGTCGGTAAACTAAAATGGGTGATGAAGAGAGATGAGGAATACCAACAGTGATGAGTTTCTCTACAGCACATGAGGACTGTGACAGTCTAGCCATCATTCTCTAAACAACAACAACAACTGTTAAGCACATTCTTGTCATTGTTGACTCAATATAAATGTGTATTTTACTGGTGAATATTCTCACAGATACATTAGATGTCTTGCTCCATCAAAGATGCTTTTGTATTAACTTCACATAGCTGAAATGATACTACAAAGTACACGGTACTGATGTTGAGGTTATAAAAGAGTGTCCTGTGACTTTCACTTATCATGCTAAATGCATTATGTTAAATGGCTTTTGTAGTATTTTCACCTTCGACATCACTGATAGAATGAGAAGGTCAAGAACCAACATAAAAACAGCACTCTTGATGTTATTGAAACATTTTAAAACCTCTTCATCATAGGTGTCAGATGGTCCGTGTCAGACAGACATTGTTTTCGCAGTTGTTCCTGCAAGACCAATGATAGACACTTGCATGAGGAGCACTGAGTCTATGGTCTGTTTATATTTCTGTTATCTCTATGGTAATGTCCCCGGCAGGATTAAGATACACACAGGCCGAGAGACTTATTTTCCTCCAGAGACCCCCACCACAATGCCAACAGGATTTATTATAATTCATTGGCTACCTTCTGTTCTAAGTCATTTACATTTACATTATACAATGCAACAAAGTTCCACGGTGGGATTTTGAGCATTTTGCCAACGTACTGTACACCAGGGGTGGGTTGGAAGAAATCAAGAGAGTTATGTTCATGCAGAAAGAAAGACCAGCACCCACTTTGAAGTATAGTCGTGAATCTTTGATGTTCATTGTTACCTGAGGCGCCTATAATTCTGCAGGGCGCTTTAAGAACATGGCGTGTTTGTGTACTTAAAATGTAACCCCTGCGTATCAGGCCCTTTAGCATTGAGCCCTGGGGCTTCAGGCCCGGTAAGCTTCTGCATTAATATGGACCGGTTAACCTGTATGTTTCCCATGTCTCTGACATTTTAATCCTTCCTACTCTGAGTGACATCTATGCAACTACCGGTACTGTGTCTTTGACAGTCGGGTTACATTTAAATTTCAAACACTGACTGTCTGCATTGTCACTAGTAATTATTTTCTGATAATTGTATACGACTGCAGTACTACATACTATTTCCGACACATTTCTGAAATATCCTTGCTGGGAATGCTGCCCTACCCGTTGGACTTGTCTGAACGTGCCGTGGTTAAATGTCCAATTTAAATGTATTAGAAAGGAATAATAAGAAATGTATTAGAAAGGCATAATTAGAAATGTATTAGAAAGGCATAATTAGCGATTTTTGTGTGTATGAATTTCTGTCAGAAGTTAGTTAATTTTGCCCAGACATTCTCCTTAAATTAAGACCACGCCTTCTATCTGGATTTAGAAACGGCATGTGTACACTTGTGTTAATTAATATTTTAAGACTATTGCTGGACAAATTATAGAGATAGAGGTTTCATCAGACTGGGAACCTATGGCTTAAATAACCTAAATAATGTTGTAGGTTGGATTTGCCTTCAGATGTAATAGTAGCATGCCCTCTACATGTCATATGACAAATGTGGTCACTCTACCACGATCGATGAGAAGAGATACAGGACATTCTTAGATGCGTGATAAATACTATTTTGTTGCCTGAAAATGATAAAACTGGGAGATGTAAGTTGCTTAAATAACCTGGCTTATGTTACCATGCAGACTAAGTGCATTATACATTTGAACTGACACATTTTGTCAATTGTTTCTTAGTTTGTTCCTTGTGAAATTCAAGTACACACCAATGCCAAACTACATGTTTAATCTTTTTAAAATCGAGCCCAAGCTGACCAGAACGCTGGAGGCATTTCAGAATTGATTCCAGTCTCCTGCGGTGATCAGCGTTCCATATAAAGTATCCCATAGTGGAACTAAATGTGATTCTGAGTAGCCATGAGCCCAGATAAACCGTCTGGATTAGAATTTACTCTGTCGATCCGTTTCCATATTGCCAAAATGTCATGGCACATAGTGATCGTTCCAGCCAGGGCCAAGAACTGAGGGGTGCCGTCTAGGTGCTAACTAGACCAGTATGGCCGGATTCTCATTGGAACATGTGGCCTTTTAAATAGGAAACTTTAGGTTATGTCACCGGTGCCCGGTCCTTCAAAATACAACAAAAGACAATGAGATTTTAATTACGATTATGATGGTGTATTTTTTATAATAATATAAAACAACAATATAACAATATCAGCCATCACACAGATGTTGATGGCATACAATAATATTAGGAAATATGCTTTAATACTGTCTTTATACAGTCTATGTGTCATAGATGGAGCGGCGTAGTGCAGTGAAAGCCATGTGCAGAGTCCAGTAATCCGTTTAAGAAGGTTTATTTATATGAAAACAAAACAAACCGAGTACGGCGAAAAGGAACTAAACTGTGAAATAGAAATAATAGTGCGCATATATAGCGACTTACACAACATCTACAAAATCTACAGTTAGTCTTTCCGACCCAATAACACTCACCCTCATATAACTGTGACGTGAAACAAACAATGATCAGCAACCAGGTGACTTCCTAACAATTCCTTTATAGCCCGACTTAATTAACAAATACACAACAGCTGTGACTAATCAACGAGAACCAAAAGTGGTGCACCCGAAACCAGACAGTGCAGTACCCTAACTCACCACTCGTGACACTGTTTAATACTGTAACTAACTGTGAATGCAAGCCTGGCCATTTATTGATAGACCCCAATAATAATAATAAAAATAATATTGTTTACATTGTCTTCTCCAAGATCATTTGTAAGACTACAATGAAAACGCTTTGGTTCATAAACACGGCAAACAATAATTTATAAAAAATAATGTATAAATAGATTTAATATGAACACAGCCTGTTTAAACACGCCAAGCATCCTCTAATATAATTCATATTAAAGTTCATCCCATGGTTGATCACCAGCTGGCACTTGGTCTTTCTCGAATTTTCCTTACATCATATTGTCCCCAGCTCATGTTCAGCTAGAGCGAGAGGGTAGGGCAAAGATGTCTCTGTTAATGACCTCAGATTATTTGTTAATTCTAGTGCCACGGGAGCTGAGTGCTCATTTGCCTTCTAGTACATTTGAGTCCCTCGCTGTTTCATCTCGTCACAGACACCATTGCGGCCTCCGTCCTCATTATTCACACCTTACTTTGTCGCTATTTTCAATAACTTTTTGCTTTGACACTTAATCTGTGGGGCCATACTCTCTCTCTTCTGCCCACACAAACAGTCACGTTGGTGCTGTAACTGAGTAAGAGCACACTGACCAAATACACCCCTTTACCTGAATGCTGTAAACGGCGAGTTTGATACAGTTAGACCTTCACTGACCTTCGGAGCAGTTGGTAGCTCAGTGGTAGAGCGCATGCTTTGTGTGTATGAGTCCTGGGTTCAAATCCCAGTTTAATAACACAAAAATAAATGAAATTACAACAACCTACATTTACCAGTCAGTGACATGCTGGATGGAAACAGCTGGAAGGGTGAACGAGTGCCTGGAGTTGGGCTGGCTGCCTGTCAGACTTGGATTAACACCATTCCACTGTGATGTCCAAGAGCTCATCTAATGAATGGGGCACTCCGTGACCAAACTCATTTCTGAAAAAGAAACCCGATCTCACTGTCTTTGGGTTCCTCATGATTACTTTCAGTCTCAATCAAAGTGAGGTTAAGGTTTGTAGCAGGTTGATCGCAGCTGTGTGTCTGAGTTGTCACTTTCATGCAGCCTTATAATTGGCTTGCTTGTGAGGTCTAATTGGAGTATGATATAAAATAGTTTATTTATAAAAAGGTATTTAATCAGGGCAATAGAACATACTGAAAATAAAAATAGTATTGTAAGCCATTATGTTCTCCCCCTGTGGGTTTTCGACAGGGATTCTTTCAACTCAAAGTCTTGATTCAGGGTAATATGTACGTTACACTACCAGGGAGTGAATACAAAATAGGTCTGGTTCAGAAAGCCCAGCGTTAGTCATTGGTGTGTGTGTGTGTGTGTGTGTGTGTGTGTGTGTGTGTGTGTGTGTGTGTGCTGTACACACCATGTATAATGGACAGTAGTTGGTGGGTAGCACAATCCAAAAAGTTGTGTTTAACGTTTTCTTTTTTCCATGATAAGCTAAAAACCTTGGAAAATTAGCCAGATTGTTTACTGAATAATGTATGTGCTAGCTGTCCACCGCGATGTCTCATAGAAACTGACCCGCATGTCTTCAATTCAATCAGGTGAAACATATATCCAATCATGTTCTTGTATCTGTCTCTACAATACGACCAATTGCACAGTTGAAACTGCTGTTGAGGTGTCCCTGGAATTAGAAATGTTTGAATTGAATTTGTCCACAGTCTGGGCCCTTGCGAGACTCCTTGTCAACAGATTCTCACTGGGATTTTTAAGAACGATTGTATATTTGTGTGAGTCTGTTGATCCTGTGGTAACTTGGTCTATTACCATGGTAACAGTAGGCTTATTTCTCCATGACTTCCACAAGGTGGCGGTATGACACTTCTGGTTCTGTAGCTGTTTAAAAGAGGACCACAACATGCTCTCTATTTGATCATACACTTGTAACTAGTGCATTCAAAAATAGACTTCCCTATTACAGAGAGCATCATGATGTTAGTGGCTTAAAGAGGTTGGAGACCCGCAACAATTAAATGCCTCGCTTTGATTTGACTTTAATGCCACAGTCATGTACAATAAAGACACTGGTTATCTTCCCAGTTAATGATCCGCTAAGTTGGTACTGCAGTATTCAGTGCCTACTTGCTCTGGGGCATTTTTGTATGTAATCTTGTCTCCAGCATGTGAAAGGTATTCTCATTTAAACTTATATCAGGTGATTGACTTGGACAGTCAAAAAAGATTTCACAACTTGCCCTGAGAAACATATTGGTCTGGCAGTTTGTTTTGGTTATTTGTCCTGCTGCAAGATCATTCGCTGTTCAGTCGCATTTCTGTAAACTTTCAAATGAATGAATTGTGCTGCTGCCGTCAGCCGTCACGTCATCAATGAAGACAAGTGAGCCAGATCTAGTTTCGGTCATGGTTAGTTCTGTATCGCCTCCAAACTGTCCATTTTTAATCCAGCTGGTACAGGTCAATCTTATCTCACCTGTTGTTTCAGAACATTTCAGGCTCTTTTGGGTTCTTTTTACTCTAACCTGACAGCTCTGTTGTAGAACCGTTCTAGAAGTTTGTGTTGTGTGGTCTAATCTATGAAGATTTTCTGGTTTACAGTCTTTGACACATTTATGTTTACCTCCTGAAGAGTTTTGATGACTATGTTTCCTTAATAATGTTTTCCTTAATAATTGTCTCTGTTTGTGGGGAAAACATCGGGTGTTTGTGTATAATATATATATTGTGAATATATAATATACATTGTGAATATATTATATACATTGATGTAAGAATGGCGTGCACATTTACAATATTAATGTGGAAAATCGAGGTAAAAGTAGATAAATAGTGGAGCCCTTTCGTTTACAGTTTGGGGTGGCTTGATGTGCTGAGCATGGTGTTATTAATGTCTATGGGACAGATGGCTGCTTGCTTGAGGCCCTCAGCATGGGTAAAGGTTGTTCAGGTGGCAGAATGATTTGGTCATGATTTACGAAGAGGGGTAGAAACAGGTACGTCCTGTGGAGTCTGACTGCAGATTATGGATGTTGGTGCCTGGTCTGTAATGTCACAATGCATTTCCCAACTTCTCAGGTAGTGAGATATGGGCAACCTTTTTATTAGTAGTTTGAGTTGTTTATAGAGTAAGTAGCTTAGTTCCAGTGTGTTATATTGACTAATGTTTACATTCAGGTTAACCTCGTTCGCCATTGTCCTTGTTTTAGAGTCATATCAGTCCCAAAGGCAGGTATTATGTAATTGGTTGCCTTAATGATTAGGGCGGAGCCTCTGTCCAGACTCTTATTTATTTAAATTTAATATTTTATATTAGCTATTAATTTAGTTCAGGTAAGTTTAAGGTAATGACGAGGTAGTGACAAGCACACAAACTGGTCTAATGTTCTCTTTGAGTCTTAAAATAATATTATTTATTTACCTTTGTTTATGCAAAGAAACCAACAGAGACCATGGTCTCTTTTACAGCTGAGCCCATTATTACAACAATAAAAAGACATAAAAAATGGAAAAAAACATTCATTATGAAAATTAATTACAATTAGAAATTAAATTATTATTAATATGAAATGTTAAATGTCTTATAAGACCTAAAACACGTAAGATTACTTTGAATGGCATTTTAATGAGTGTTGGGCAAAAACTGAATAGGACTGTATTATCTCCTGTATTATCTAGTCTGAATAGGCCTGCAGTATCTCCTACATTATCAGTCTGAATACCCTGCATTATCTCCAGCATTATCCAGTCTGAATACCCTGCAGTATCTCCAGCATTATCTAGTCTGAATAGACCTGCAGTATCTCCTGCATTATCCAGTCTGAATACCCTGCAGTATCTCCAGCATTATCTAGTCTGAATACCCTGCAGTATCTCCAGCATTATCTAGTCTGAATAGGCCTGCAGTATCTCCTGCATTATCCAGTCTGAATACCCTGCAGTATCTCCAGCATTATCTAGTCTGAATAGACCTGCAGTATCTCCTGCATTATCCAGTCTGAATAGACCTGCAGTATCTCCAGCATTATCCAGTCTGAATACCCTGCAGTATCTCCAGCATGATCTACTCTGAATAGACCTCCAGTATCTCCTGCATTATCTAGTCTGAATAGGCCTGCAGTATCTCCAGCATTATCCAGTCTGAATAGACCTGCAGTATCTCCAGCATTATCCAGTCTGAATAGACCTGCAGTATCTCCAGCATTATCCAGTCTGAATAGGCCTGCAGTATCTCCTGCATTATCCAGTCTGAATAGACCTGCAGTATCTTCAGCATTATCCAGTCTGAATAGGCCTGCAGTATCTCCAGCATTATCCAGTCTGAATACCCTGCATTATCTCCAGCATTATCTACTCTGAATAGACCTCCAGTATCTCCTGCATTATCTAGTCTGAATAGGCCTGCAGTATCTCCAGCATTATCCAGTCTGAATAGACCTGCAGTATCTCCAGCATTATCCAGTCTGAATAGACCTGCAGTATCTCCAGCATTATCCAGTCTGAATAGGCCTGCAGTATCTCCTGCATTATCCAGTCTGAATAGACCTGCAGTATCTTCAGCATTATCCAGTCTGAATAGGCCTGCAGTATCTCCAGCATTATCCAGTCTGAATACCCTGCATTATCTCCAGCATTATCTACTCTGAATAGACCTCCAGTATCTCCTGCATTATCTAGTCTGAATAGGCCTGCAGTATCTCCAGCATTATCTAGTCTGAATAGGCCTGCAGTATCTCCAGCATTATCCGGTCTGAATAGGACTGCAGTATCTCCAGCATTATCCAGTCTGAATAGGCCTGCAGTATCTTCAGCATTATCCAGTCTGAATAGGCCTGCAGTATCTCCAGCATTATCCAGTCTGAATACCCTGCAGTATCTCCAGCATTATCTACTCTGAATAGACCTCCAGTATCTCCTGCATTATCTAGTCTGAATAGGCCTGCAGTATCTCCAGCATTATCCAGTCTGAATACCCTGCATTATCTCCAGCATTATCTACTCTGAATAGACCTCCAGTATCTCCTGCATTATCTAGTCTGAATAGGCCTGCAGTATCTCCAGCATTATCAGTCTGAATAGGCCTGCAGTATCTCCAGCATTATCCAGTCTGAATAGGCCTGCAGTATCTCCAGCATTATCCAGTCTGAATAGGCCTGCAGTATCTCCTGCATTATCCAGTCTGAATAGGCCTGCAGTATCTCCAGCATTATCCAGTCTGAATAGGCCTGCAGTATCTCCTGCATTATCCAGTCTGAATAGACCTGCAGTATCTCCAGCATTATCCAGTCTGAATAGGCCTGCAGTATCTCCAGCATTATCCATCTCCTGCATTATCCAGTCTGAATAGACCTGCAGTATCTCCTGCATTATCCAGTCTGAATAGGCCTGCAGTATCTCCTGCATTATCCAGTCTGAATAGGCCTGCAGTATCTCCAGCATTATCCAGTCTGAATAGGCCTGCAGTATCTCCAGCATTATCCAGTCTGAATAGGCCTGCAGTATCTCCAGCATTATCCAGTCTGAATAGGCCTGCAGTATCTCCAGCATTATCCAGTCTGAATAGGCCTGCAGTATCTCCAGCATTATCCAGTCTGAATAGGCCTGCAGTATCTCCAGCATTATCCAGTCTGAATAGGCCTGCAGTATCTCCAGCATTATCCAGTCTGAATAGGCCTGCAGTATCTCCAGCATTATCTAGTCATGAGAGCGTATTTGGGAATTGCTGTTCTTTCAAATAGCTTTCTCTGTTAGATGGTCAGGTTGTTTTTGCATA